GAGCTCAGCGAGGTGGGAGGCGATGAAGCACAATCCCAGACTAGTTTTGGAGTGGTGCGTTGAAGAGCAGGCGATTCTTGAAGAGGGTCTCAGTGAGTGAGTGTTTCTTTTGGGAATTATTTTGGTAAATTATATCATCTTCAATTATGTGAAGTTTTTTGTTTTTGTTTTTGTTTTTACTTTAGGGGGTGTTAGTCAATTGAGACATTTTCATGTAAAATGGGATAATTATTAAAGCGGAATAATTTTTCGCTAGTGGAATATTTTGGTGGGATTAATAGGAACAATTTTGTGAAGCGTGATATTTTGATAAAATAACGTGGGATAAATTTTTATAATCATGAAATATATTTTTATGCATTTTGAAGATATAAATACTATTTATGTATTTTAAACTTACTATTATTGATTGATAATTGTTTACAAGAATGTTTTTTACTATTAAATAACTTTTGGTTAGACTATAAGATATTGAAAATTATTATTATAATGATGGTCTAATGATGGTGATAACCATAATAGGAAAGAAGTAAAAAAATATAAAAAATAAAAAATAACAAAATAAATATGAGTTCTAGTTTTTTACCACCTAATTCCAAGCTAAAACTTAGAATAATTTGAGAGACTAGAACTCTCATTTTTGTATAGAAAAATAAAAAAATAGGATAATTTTGTACAATTATCTTAATTCTAGTTTTGTTAGAGTTCTACTTGACTAACACTGTAAAAATTTGTTCTAGTTTTAGTTCTATATGACTAACACCTTAAAAATTTATCCCACATATTATCCTAGTTCCAATTTTAAGTTCTAGGTGGCTAACACCCCCTTCATTTTTTAAGTGTAGCAAGCATTAAAAAAAAGAAAAGAAAAAAAACCCAAGATATAGGAATTTTAGATTTGGGGATAGTTTTACTTTATAATATTTTCAGTGGTAAGGTTTTTATTATGGGAGTTTTATGACGAGTTCCGGCATTTGACTGAGGCATAGAACCCACAACAAAGTAACTTCACATTGTCATCACTCAAGATTAGTCAAGAAGTAGCAAAAATACAATCCCAAAAATTCAGCCACAATCCTAATAGATTTCAATCAACAAATAACAACCAAATAGCAAGCTCCACAAATACCGAAAAGCAATTGAAGACCAGGTAAATAGAAGAGGACAGAGATGACGTAGAAGAAAGGGGTTAAGAAGAGAGAGGGGGATGGAGGAGGGAGGGAGGGAGGCCAATTTTTCATTATAACAACGTATATAGTAAATGATGGGCCTTAACTAGGCTATTGAGCTTGCATCACTACTCCACCCTTCAAATCGACCTTGTCCTAATGTCGAATGAGGGAACAGAACCGATATGAAAACCCAAGGTCCTGGATGTCTTTTCAAAAACGCACAAGCCTTTATCGAAGCCTCTCCTTAATTAAGTACCATTCTCTACTTTCTTTGTCAACTTTCTTCAATCGCATCAGTGTCAAGAGTAACATGATGCTCAAGATTACCTTCCTCCAATGTAGATCCATCATGACCACAACACATATGCTCCTTGGCACCTTTAATAGATTCCAGCTACAGTAACCATTTTTCAATGCCTGAACTTGAACTTGATGAGCTTGCACCATAGCATCTGATAGCCTTCGATGGAAGCTCTAGACTTATCATGACTCTAAGGTTGCAAGATGGCAGTCTCCAATTATAGAGCTTTTCTATGTCCAACTTGTGATCCATGGTCATTACAAGTTTTTTCTTCAACCAATATTCCCTCCAATTTTCATTCGTCCACGGGAAAGCAATCAACTTAGCCATAAAAATAACCCATAATTGTCTTTCCATAGCATGACTGCTGAGAGCAAAACTATCCAGGAAATCGACAAAAAATGAAGTCATAACTCAAGCTAAAGTAGTTTCATGAAGTCCTCAAAAGATTCTCGAAGCTTTCCCTGTAATGCCCCTGGATGTGAAAAAACAGCACCATTCATATTGAATGGTAGCTGTACAAAAGAGTTTTGAGCTAATGAAATGTGTAAGCTAGCTGGCACAAACACAAATATTGTTGGAGTTCCTAAAACCGTTTGCAATTTCTCCATTATGCCCGATTGTTGAGTAAGAAAAGAATATAGTCTTTTCAATTGTGTATCCACAATTGCTTACGATGAAAGCTTTGCTTCAAACTTCTCATTTTTTTTTTGGAAAAACGCAACTTGCAGCTGTTTGTTAAACAACACAAAAATTTCTCCATTATGAGCGATTGTTGAGTAGGAAAAGAATATAGTCTTTTCAATTGTGTATCCACAGATTCTTACAATAATAATTTTGCTTCAAACTTCTCATTTTTATTGGAAAACGCAACTTGCAGCAGTTTGTTGAACAACACATAAATATATAGCATCATTTAATTTCTTAGGGAGGAGTACTTGAGAACTCCCTTGTATAATATTTGCTCCACCCAAGTATGGTATGTCAACTGTATCTTCGCAGATGCATTTGAACACTTGGTTTCCTCAAAGCATTTGATTTGACATTCAATGATATGTCAAAATCTGCAGTTGGATAGCTATTCCAACCATTGTTTTAAATATCCCCGGCATGGACCTATATATCCCCCGATATATCCTTTCACAGTGCTTGCCGCAACCGTTATGGTCTCTAAATGTCCTTTATCATTTTTTGGGTATTTTTGGTGATATATCCCCGATATGGCCAATATATCAGCCAATATGTTGGTCAATATATCCTTTTATATGCCTTGTCGCAAAACAATATAGCATGTTTGGCAATTTTTGAACGAGATCATGATTTTCCCATTATATCAAATGACATTTTGGCCTAAAAAAATGAGACGAAATTTTGTAACATTGATTTGTTCTTTTGTGATATGTACTTTTGTTTGTTTTATAAGGTTGATTACTGAACCTTAACATATATTATTTACATTTCATATGCTTAGATATCCGTAAGTATGTTGAGATTACATTTTAGTGCATTATACTTTATATGCAAACATCCGTTATGACATTCCGATATTTACATATATCCCCGATATTCGCAATCCAAATATGAATTTTGGCCATCCGATATTTCCCTAATTTCTGATATTTAAAACCTTGATTCCAACACATATTCTTCCTCTTACGACTCAGTTTTGTCCATATTAGTTAGGACTTGTGATAATAATCGACGATTCGACTGCCATTCATACTCAAGTTTCTACTCTGGAACCTTATCTTCTATGATTTCTTCATTGTCAAATACCCCAAAGGATTCTCAGTTTCTTGCCTCCCTTCATTTTGTTTCGTTAGGTTTCCTTTCAACAGTTGTAGAAGTGCATTTGCATTCAACAAATCCAATGCTAAGATACGTTTCTCCACCACTTCGTCGATGATGCATCAATATGCTCAATAAACGATTCTGATATGCTATTTTGAGAAGGAGTTCCCACATGATCATCACCATCATAATCATTCAAAAGAGGTGCATGATTAATAGGCAAAGAAGTTACTTGCTTCAAACTGTCGAATTCCATCTCAGGGAGCTTGGTTGGAAGTGAAGATGGATCCAGTTGGGGATTTGATCAAACAAGTTGTGAACAGAGGCTCTTTGTAGCATCAACCAATCAAGATGAAATAACTTGAGAATTTGATGGAACAGATTGTGGGCAGTGGTTTTTAGCAGCATCAAATGGCAGAGGAGGAATTCCAGGAGGTTGAAGAAAACCCTGCCTCTTTACCGTTGACCGTAGTGATCTAGTGCTGAACCAAACTAGCCAGTGGAGTTAGTTGGGCGCATATATTTTGTATCCCATTCTCTAAAATTTTCAAGTGTTCTCCTATCGTGATAGATTTGTTAGATCGACTCGACATCTTGTGAGGGTTCCTTTAGATCCAAACATTGAGGCGATACGCCGATACAAGAACACCATGCTCATTAATCGTTCCCCAACAATTGAGATCAGTGTCAGATTCTTCATTATATGCGGCTGCTGGTAGTTGGAGTCAAGGCTATTGCTTGGGAATTTTGTCAAATGGGGGTGATGAAAAGCTAGTTTTGAAGATGAAAAATAGGTTACCTATGCCGCATAAGTATGGGTGCTCTGATGAGGAGTTTGGATCACTTTATTATGGCGGCAATGGTGGAGTTGTGTAGCCATGGTAATAGGCTGAATGTTGGGGAGGTGTACTATAATAAGAAGAGGGTTATGTTACCTAGGTACTTCTAATCAGAAGTCGTACCTATACCAAACAAGTACCCGTACCCGTATCTGACATGTAATCAAACACGTAATCAAACTCCTTGGACACTCCTTGGATATATGCACACATTTATTCGGGCATGTACTCAATTATACAATACATATTTTAATTTAAAACACTCGTCATACATTTTTTGGACATATATCCTACACTTCACACCTAGTTCTTGAATTTTTGAAGAGTTTCTTATATGTGTTGTTCAAAAACTAGTAATTTTCCAATTTATAATCCACATAATAAGAGAAACATAAAAATGTTATAGGAAATTTTCATCATTGTTCCCATATAAATTACTAATTCCAATATATAATATATGTGTATATAAATATTTATATAGTTGTGTCCATGTACCCTACCTTTTATAAATTTGTCGTGTCCCGTACCCCTACCGTATACGTGGCCCAATATCATGCAACATAGAAAGAGGGTGACAATGTACCGTAATTTGAGTGAGACATAGAACCCGCAACAAAGTACTTCCCGTTGTCATCACTTAAGATTAGCCAAGAAATAGCAACAATACCATCCCAAAATTTCAGCCACAATGCCTAATGGATTTCAGTTCACAAATAACAACCAGATAGCAAGTTCACAAATAACAACCAAATAGCAAGCTACATACCACAAATACTAGAAAGCAATTGAAGACCAGGTAAACAGAAAGAGGACAGAGATGAAGTAGAAGAAAAGGTTAAATGTTAGACCCTGACCCTAGAGGGGGGTTGATTAGGGTCTTATGCTAATCTAATCCGATTTTATGCCAATTAAAACTAATTAACAAGTTATCCTAGCAAATATGAAATACAACAAGATATGTGAGCTAGGATAAGTGACATACACAAGGG